TGAAAATTTGCTCTTGATATCATACTTTATGTCGATGATATTCTGATCTTTTGCAAATATCTTACCCAAATAGATTGGCTTAAGAGTCAATTATCGAATGAATTTAAGATGAAAGACTTAGGAGAGGTAAAGCATTTCCTCGGTCTAGACATCAGTCGAGATTTCGAAGCTGGGAAGTTAGAATTGTCACAGGAGAAATATATAGGACATAATATTATGCAATAATAATATTGCGATACCTCCAGGGGACAAAGTCCATGCGAATCGTGCTGATGAAGAAGGATGACGTAGTGCCACTCGAGGGATACGTGGACGTTGACTACGCGAACGATGAAGATGATATACGATCGATTTCGGGACAAGTGTTCTACGTATACGGAAACATCGTGTCATGGTCATCAAAGAAGCAGGAGATCATAAGCCTATCGTCGACGGAAGCTGAGCTAATTGCACTGTGCAACGGTGTAAAGGAAGGAATTTGGTTGGTCAAATTACTGCGTGAGATTGGAATTACCGCAGTTCCATTCACGGTATTTGAAGACAACCAGCCTTGCATACGAATTGCAGAAGAACCGCGTGAACATCAAAGAACTAAACATATTGATGAGAAATATATGTTCGTTAGGAGTTTGATTAGGAATAAGACGTTAATTTTAAAATACGTATCGACAAATATGCAAATCGCGGATGTGTTTACTAAAGCATTAACTAAGATTAAGTTTCAGGAAATGATTAGTTATCTACAGCTAGTAAATTGAGGGGAAGTATTGAAAGTGACAATTTATGCGAGTGTATAAAATATAAGACACATTGTTTTTGCACTGGGTGTGCTAGATTTGACAGGAGATTAGAAGAAGAGAGCCGAGAGAGAAAGAGAGACGAGAGTGAATGTACACGGAGAAAAAATACTACCCAAAATTTGAGTTCTTTTTACTTAATATTGACTTCAGCCTCTCCCTTGCACTCGTTATTGTTGTCAAAAAAGGAACGAGAGATTCGACCCAACGATATAGTTCAGCCCAATAAGTTACTTTTGAGTAAATTGCATATTCTCAAATTTACGTGAATTAAACTTAATTTTGGGAGACTATACTTAAGAGTAGGTAATTTTTTTGCTGGTGTTAAATGGAAACTACTATACACAGCAAAAAAAAATGTAATATCGATCAATGTAATTCAAGCTGATGTATGAAATAATGATGTAATAGCAAAAAGCAGATATACAATATTAAATCAATGGATGTAATTTTGTTCGCAAAATCGATGTACATCGTACAACGTTATATTACACAACCGATGGATTGACCTGGTTGCAGCAGTTTGGATGTAATATTCAACAACTTTTTTTTCTGTGTATGCGATTTACTCAAATTTGGGTTATTGGGCTGAACCCCAGAATTGAGGGAAAAGTACTTAATTTTGGGTAGTTTTTCATCTCCGTGTAGAACATAAACAGACAAACCATGGTGGGTATATAAATGGTGATACAGCTTTGTCACTATATAGGCAAAGAGGTCGCGGGGGGGAAAAGTGCGGTTTTAGAGCAAATTGTAAACAAACTCGGTCGCTGTCCCATACAAAAATCCAACATGGCTGAATCATGAATTTGACACATTAAAACACCTATATATAGTCACCTTGAGACAAACAGTTTGTCGCGTGTGTATCGCAATTGGACCTGGTAGAGTAGAAATCATTAGAGAAAGTTGATGTCATATTGATGATTCTGTGTACTGTGATATAGTATGAATATACCACAGACAAACAGACATAACTCTTGCAAGCTGTTCATCGAACATGCTTTTAACGGTCAGTTTTTAAAAGTATCGTAGTTGGTAGTACCGCCACCTGTATCGCGCATAGTCAATTCCCTTGCATTTGACGTTTACACACTACCGCCATCTGTTCAGCGTACTACCACAAACGAAGTGACAGACGACTAACTGGCGAAGAAATCCATTTAAATAATGTGGTTCACTGTAATAGAATTTTCTTGGAAGCTTGTGCCATCATCCACCAGATGGGTTAGTTTTTTTGTTTTGATTTGTACAAAGTTGATTTTGTGTACAATGATTCTTTGACAGTGTGCAAAGAGGGCGCATCATTTTGTCATTTTTTTATGCATTTCAGTTTTGAATAGAGTGAAAGAGATAGAACCAAAACATTCTAATACATTTGGTGAAAATGCTAGTACAATCCAGTAGTAGTGTTGCCATGTGGTACAATCCAGTAGTAGTGGTGTTGCCATGTGGTACACTGAAAAATTGAAATAGCAGGTTAGTCACCAAAGTTTTCGAGCCGCTCCGTCTGTCACTTCGTTTGTGGTACTACCCACCACAGTGTACTCTACAGATGGCGATAATGTTTTAGCGAAGATGTTTTACAGTGAGAAATGTTCAATGTGTTATGTCTGTTTGTCTGTGAATATACGGTCGAGTCTTCGTTAACATTCATTAAAAGCATCTATTACTGAAAGGAAGTGCCGAAGTCCTGCGTATTATAAAGACTGAGATTTCAGGTTTGGATTAATATTAGATTCATTAGTTGGAGATTTCCGAATTGAATCTAATTAGATAATTAGATAATTAACAAAATCGGTTGGAAATTTCCAAATTAATTAATTATTTTAACAGTTAGTGTCATCTTGTGTTCTCTCAAGTTGCTAGGTCTCCATCGGTGTACACCATGTTTGTCATTTTCTCCAGTATGTCGCTTAGTTCTAGATCAAGAGCACATTGCTCTAAAAACCTTGTGTTCTCAATCCCTACCCTGCCACCAGTTTAAAAATCCATATTCGAATATGTAGATACGTATTTCTAAGCAGAATTTAATTCTGAACAAGAAAACCTAGGCGATATCCAAATTTGATGATAACTGGTTAGCGTTATTTCCCACGCCAGTTTGAAAAACCCCGTTTCAAGATAAACGCGTTTAAAGATATTTTTTTTTTTAAATTCTTTATTAAAGGAAATTTTTAGCCTTAGGCTAGTTCATCTCTAGAAGTTTAAAGATAAAATTGCTCTCTCAGCGCGCCGGTACATGTTTTAGGAAATCGCTTCGTAAAGCAGTTAGGAATATTCTGGCGGACTTGGAGTCTTTTCTAAATTAAAGTATACATCCCAAGGAACATTTTAAGCAAAAAAAAAATGCATGTTTTTGAAAAAAAAAAATTGAATCTTAGCGTATATACCCGCATAAACGCGAACCATCACATCAGGCATAACATTTGATAACGGCACAAAAGCATTTGTAAACAAACTTTCTAAGGCCCTTTACAAGCGAACCAAAGTACGCCCACGCAAACCAATACCACTTTCGGAAAGGTGATAGTTGCCCCTATCCGATGATGTTGTTGGTTTGCGTGGGCGTACTTTGGTTCGCGTGTAAAGGGCCTTAGAAAGTTTGTTTACAAATGCTTTTGTGCCGTTATCAAATGTTATGCCTGACATGACCTTACCGATAATGGTTATAAATTGTTTATAATCCCTGCTAAACTTCAACTGAAATGGTTATGGAACTTTACATGAACGTTTGTGTGATAAAGTTTTAACCTTATGTATTATGGTTTTTTGGAAGCGGACCTTACAAATAATGGGTTGTTAAGAACCATTACCATTCCAAATTCTTGTTTTCTCCATACATTTTCGGAAAGAGAACTATATTAGAACGTTTTTACTTATGGTTTGAGAACATTAATGGTTATGGTTATGGTAGTCAGTAAGGTTCATTAATGGTTTTGTATTATCACTCAACTTTACGTGAAATATATCGTGAATTGGTAATCATTAATTTACAGGCAACCAATTCGCGATATATTCCACATAAAGTTGATCGATGTTACAAAACCATTCATGGACCTTACTGGTTACCATAACCATTACCATTAATGTTCTCAAACCATAAGTTAAAAGGTTTTAGTATAGTTTTCTTTCCGAAAATGTATGGAGAAAACAAGAATTTTGAATGGTAATGGTTCTTAACAACCCATTATTTGTAAGGTCCACTTCCAAAAAACTATAATACTTAAGGTTAAAACTTTATCATTAAACGTTCATGTAAAGTTCCATAACCATTTCAGTTGAAGTTTAGCAGGGATTATAAACAATTTTAACCATTTTAGGTAAGGTTTATGTTATGGTTCGCGCTTATGCGGGTACACAATCACAATCACACTCTAGTATATGGTGTTTTGAAATAGATGCACATTTTTTCAAGCAGAAATTCAAAATTTATTTGTCTTATCCATGACCAAGTTCCCTCATTCGGTTCAAAATGCCGAGAATTCTACCACGCTTGCTATCGCTGATTCTTAAGAAATGGCCGAGAGCGTATCAAAGTAAACTTAAAGAACTATAATGGCAAACATTTGTATCCTCGTGGCCATCGATCAGTCTTCCCATTAATTTTCCGGAAGATCATGCTTCTCTCGATGAAGAACCAAATTTGTCGATAGCTAATATAAACATTGCCATCTGTCATCTAGTGTGTATCAAACTCTCTTTACCCAGCGATGCAAATCGATAACAAGGAGATTATAAATGTGCATCGATGGCAATCTTTATTGTTCTTTACCAAAGTTCAACGTTACGATGGTATCAGTATTCAAATATTTTTAGATGAATATTTATAAAGAAAACTGTAGTCCTTGTGACACATCGAAATTAGAAGAAATTTAGTATGACATCTTTAGGATTACTATCATGCGACCGATAGAGAAATTATCTTAAATGTAAGTATCGATCAATAAAGTTTTTTAAATATATTCATCGAAATCAAAGAAACTTGAAAATAAAGAATTACCGACATTAATCTTTATTTTTGTGTAAAGAACTTTGAAGAAGTTTCACGAATGGTTGGTCGGCATCTGATTTTTCTATTAAAAACAATCGGAATACTTCGTTCAGTGCAAACCAACCAATCAATAACCAAGACAACAGATGTGCTGGCGAGAAGGATCAACTATGGTCTTAGCCTGTCGATGTAGACAAAAAAAAGTTACAATCAAAAACATTTAATTTTATGGTGAAAAACCTGTTCGACGCGATATTAATGCCAAGGATTCTTAATCATGGAAGTATTCAATAAACTGTACACTTCGGTAACGCAAACCGTTTCGCAATTGTCGTCAGTTTTACCTGGAAATCCCGTAACAAGAGAATACGACATAACTGGACATATTGCAAGCGCCGGAAGGGGTGAGTAATGTTTTGCAAGCGATTCTTCTGTAAGTTGGAATTACGATATATTTGAATTAATGTTTAATTGACTCCAGGATGTATGTGGAAAATTTACACGGGGACTAAAAAGTCAACAGGGCAAGAAGCATCAATATTTCTTTTGGAAAAGAGATTACTTGAGCGATATTCTAAAGAAGACAGAGAAGAGATCTTTGAAATTGTGAGGCGTGGAGTAACACAAATTACGAAAATTCGCCACCCACAAGTACTAACAGTGCAGCATCCACTGGAAGAAAGCCGAGAAAGCTTTGCTTTTGCAACGGAGCCTGTTTACGCCAGCTTAGCTAACGTTCTTGGTGATACTACAAATATTCCATCGTCGGTGATATCCGAGCTTGGTAACTACAGTTTGTACGAAACAGAAATTAAGTATGGTCTGTTGCAACTAATCGAGGGAATCCAGTTCATTCATAATGAAACAAAGTTGGTACATCGAAACATCAGTCCCCACAGTGTGGTGCTGAATTCTTATGGAATTTGGAAAATATTTGGTTTTGACTACTGTGCCAGCAATGAAAACGCGAACCGATACGAGTACAATCCCAATCTGAACATTCTGGCTATTCCAAGCTTGGAGTACACGGCTCCGGAATGCGTACTGGAAAGTGCTTACTCTTCACGTGCTGACTACTATTCATTAGGTAATGCGAGGTGATAGAAACGTACTCTTAACAGCTTTTAACACATTTGCTATATATGTCCAGGTGTGCTCATATGTGCAATATATGCAAAGAAATGCAATCCATTCAAAACTTTCGGTCGAGACTACACGGCATTTAAGAAACATGCCCAGGAATTGCGTTCGGCGAAGTGTCCTTGTCTGATGAATGTGCCGCAGGCAATGCGAAGTAACGTTGAAAAGTTGCTGACTGCCAGCCCCGAGCGAAGGCCCGACTTGGTTCAGCTTAGTAAGGTATATGTATCATCGGGTCGAAATATCAATTGTGTCAAATTGTTTTCCGTTCCAACAGGTACCCTACTTTGACGACATTGGAGTGAAAAGTCTCAGTTATTTAGATACGCTATTCCAAAGGGATAACCAGGATAAAGCTAAATTTTACAAGGGCTTGCCGCAGATTATAAAAATGCTTCCTGCGCGGATCAATCTACATCGAATACTAACGTGCCTCGTAAAAGAGTTCATCCATCCAACAATGATACCGTTCGTTTTGCCAAACGTACTGTTGATTGCAGAGAGCTGTACCAAGACGGAATACGAGAAGCATATCTTTCCACATATAAAATCCATCATGAGTTTGCAGGACCCAGTTCAAATTCTGCTCATATTCATGCAAAATATGGAGCTACTGCTGAAGCTGACTTTGCCCAACGATGTGAAGCTCTACGTTCTTCCGATGGTGTACAAAGCCCTTGAATCGAGCTCTACACAAGTTCAAGAACTATGCCTAGCGGTTCTTCCATCATTTGCAAATCTAATCGATTACCCTTCAATGAAAAATTCGCTGTTGCCACGCATCAAACATCTGTGCTCGAAAAGCGGTGTTGCATCAGTTAGGGTAAATTGTCTCTTGTGCGTCGGGCAGCTGCTTCCTCAGTTGGACAAGTGGCTAGTCTTGGATGATATATTGGTGTTCTTACCGACTGTGACCCCGCGGGAACCGGCAGTCATCATGGCAATCATAGGTATGTATGTATTTGACTTCATAAGGTAAGGTATTTAAAATGAAATCAGACTGTCCACGAAGTTTATGGCCAAGCATAGAGAGCCATGTTTACCTTTCTTTCTACAATAAATTAAACTTCTTCCTAGAATCTAGCATCGGTACGAATCACATCGATATCGTTCTCTCTGAGAAGCAAGTCCCCTCCTTGGCCAATTTTTGCACCTTGCTGTTGGTGGGCGGGCTTAATTTCATACTCTTTAGTGGAGTGTTGGAAACGGTAGGTTTATGGCCGGCGTTGCTGGCTCATGCCGCGATAGAATGGCACCATGGGCAGGCAATGGGGATTACTAAGCTTCCCCTCTCTGATAAACCACTGCATGAGTAGCAGTGTTGCAAAATCTTATCATAATTACTGCAAATAACAGTGAGCGCTCAACTTCCGAGCCAAGCAGACGTACTTACGCTATCGCTATTTCTGGAAGTCGCTCTCAAGCTATATATCGTTTGTCACGCTGCGTTTTTCCATCGCCGAGCCGTAGCGTGTTCCCGCGTACTACGACTCCACGATGGCGCGTCGCGCGAACACATTCCGCATAGATTATGCGATGTTGCCGAAAAAACCGGACTATGCAAAAGTGCAAAACTTTGTTGGAACCATGTTGGGTTTAAAGCCCGGTGAAGTGCTTAGAATACAGTGTAGCAGAAATCTCGGGTGTGCCTTCGTGAAGGTCGTCGACCTGGAGCTGGCACAAAAAGTGTGCGAAGAACACGACGGAAAACACGAAGTGCAAGTGGGTGAGGGGAAGACGGTTCCCCTGCGAATAACAATGGAAGACGGGGCAGTGGAGGTGAAGCTGTACGATCTGTCTGAGGACGTATCGGACGAAGCCATCGTCAAATTCCTGTCCGCGTACGGTGACGTCATCTCAGTTCACGAACACATGTGCGGAGGTGATTTGTATTTTCCGCGCATTTCCACTGGTGTTCGGATTGCCAAGATGATCGTGAAACACAACGTCGAGTCGTGGGTCACTATCGACGGGGAATCGACGTTGCTATCCTATTTTGGTCAACGTCAAACGTGCCGACACTGCCGGGATTTCATCCACATCGGCGCCACCTGCGTGCAGAACAAAAAGCTGCTAGTGCAGAAGTCGTATGCCGATGCACCAACACCAACCAAACCAAATGCGAAGCCACGGAGCCAAAAGCCAACGTTGCAGACAAAACCCCCACCGTCGAAGAAGCCGAAACAGCAGTTGTTGTCGGTTACACAAAAACCAATTAACACGCAGTCGGAGACACAATTTCCTCCACTCACTCTCCCCATCATACCCGTATCGGGTCCAAAACCGCCGCCGGAGAAAAGGTCGCTGTCCAACACGTCCGGTCAACAGCCCCCTGATGGTGGAAAGTCCGAAGGCAACGAGACAGACGACTCGGCAATGTCAACGCACAGCACAAACTCTAGAGGACGCCCTAGAACCAGAAAGCGACGAGATGGTATCGGTGACGAGCGGGATCTGGAAAACCAATCGTGAATCCAATCGCCAGCTACAACATCGCTACTATCAATATAAACACGATCACCAACGAAACAAAACTCAACGCCTTCCGAACTTTTATCAGAACGATGGAGCTTGACATCGTGTTTCTGCAAGAAGTGGAGAACGAGTAGCTCTCGATTCCTGGCTATAACGTTGTCGCAAATGTCGATCATTCGAGAACGGGGACTGCAATAGCGCTAAAAGAATACATTCGGTTTTCCCATGTAGAAAAGAGCTTGGATGGCAGGCTCGCTGCTCTGCGGGTTGAAAACACCACATTGGCAAACGTATATGCACCGTCGGGCACAGCAATGCGTGCCGAGCGAGAACGCTTTTTCAATAATACCGTCGCCTTTTATCTTCGGCACAACACCGAACATCTAATACTCTCCAGGCCACGGTACAGCAGCTACAACTCAACGATGTTTGGATTAAGTTGTACCCCACGACCCCCTCCTCCACATACGTAACGCACAACTCGGTCTCCAGGGTCGACCGCATATACGTCAGCAATGGTCTATGCACGTATCTCCGGAGTGCAGCCACGCATGCTCTTTTACGAACCACAAAGCGCTTACCGCAAGAATATGCCTCCCTAGCCTCGGACGCGAACCTGGCCGCGGTTACTGGTCCCTTCGTCTCCATATTCTCACTGCAGAGAACATCGAAGAGTTCCAGATTAGATGGCAGTATGTAACCCAACAGCGACGGAACTTTCCAAACTGGATAACGTGGTGGATATCATGCGCTAAACCGAAAATTCTTTCTTTTTTTCGGTGGAAATCTCGCGAGGTGTACAGGGAATTTCATGCTGAACACCAACGTTTGTATTCGCAGCTTCGGCAAGCATATGACAACTATTATCAAAATCCAACGATGTTGGCTACGATCAACCGTGTGAAAGCACAGATGCTTACTCACCAGCGAATGTTTTCCCAGCACTTCATGCGTATCAACGATACATTCATCGCAGGGGAAAATATCAGCACGTTCCAGCTTGGCGAGAGGCGAAGGAAAAAAACCGTCATAACAGAGCTGGGTATCGAGAACGGCGAGACTCTAAACAGCTCCGAAACAATTGAAAACCCCCTGCTAAACTACTTCAGGGAGCTTTACACAGCGTCTGACGAGAGCGAGGAGGCACAATCTTCTTTCCACTGCGAACGAGTGTTTCCAGAAAGCGACGAGCAAAACGAGGCGTGTATGGCTGAAATAACAACAGCAGAAATAATGTCATCTATTCGCACATTGGCTAAAAGGAAGGCTCATTTTACCAACGTACGTTCGATGTCATCCACCGAGAGTTAAATCTCGTTTTAAACAAAGCTATGACCACGGAGCTCCCCGCTGAGTTCGTCAACGGAGTGATTGTGCTTGTACGAAAGAGAGGAACTGTAAACACGGCACGAGGATACCGACCGATCAGCCTTCTAAACGCAGACTACAAAATCCTCAGCCGTATACTCAAATCTCGTTTGGAGATTGTGTTGAGGTCGTACCCGGTTTTGAGCGATGCGCAGTAGTGCTCTAACGATGGGCACTCAATTTTTCAAGCAACTCTTTCTCTGAAGGATCGCATTGCAGAGCTGATAGCGAGGAAGCGGAGAGGGAAACTAATAAGCTACGATCTCGATCACGCCTTCGATCGAGTGTCCCACTCATTTCTCTATGGAACGATGCGGCAGTTGGGGATAAACCCAGCCTTCGTCGGTTTACTGGCTCGTATTGCCGGACAATCTTCGTCTCGCCTGCTGGTCAACGGGCATCTCTCGCAGAGCTTCGCCATCGAACGTTCGGTTCGCCAGGGGGACCCTTTGTCTATGATACTGTTCGTCATCTACCTCCATCCGTTTCTGCAACAACTGGAGCGACTTGTCGGCCCCGATTTCGTGGTGGCTTACGTAGATGATGTGTCTGTTATAGTTACCAATACACGCGTGATTGAGCGCATCAATGACCTGTTCGGACGTTTTGAACGTGCCGCCGGCGCAAAGCTCAATAGATTGAAAACTGTTGCAATCAACATCGGGTTCATTGATGGAGATCCACTGAATGTGCCATGGTTGCAAACAGTAGAAACGGTGAAAATTCTTGGCATTTATTTCCCTAACTCAATCCGCGCAATGACTAAGATTAATTGGGATGCTCAAGTTACCAAATTTGCTCAACATTTGTGGCTGCACTCGATGAGGGGACTTAACCTTCAACAGATTTTTTTTTTTTTTTAATTCTTTATTTAAGAGATTTTTAGCCTTAGGCTAGTTCATCTCTAACCTTCAACAGAAGGTTATTTTGCTAAATACCTATATCACGGCAAGGATTTGGTACGTGGCATCAATCCTTCCACCATATTGTGTCCACACAGCGAAAATCACAGCAACCATGGGTTCCTTCTTGTGGCGCGGCCAACCGGAGCGGGTTCCTATGGAACAATTGGTACGAGACAAAGCATCTGGCGGACTAAAGTTGCAGCTACCGGCACTCAAATGCAAAGCGCTTCTGGTGAACCGTCACTTACAGGATAGTGGCTCCCTTCCCTACTATCAGTCCCTTCTGAACCAAGCAATTCCTCCTCCCGCAGATCTTCCTTCCCTTAAACTATTAGCCCAACAAATTCCACTTCTCCCCCCACTTATCCGAGAACACCCCTCCAGCGACCAAATTCATCGTGTTCTTCTGGAGCGGACAGATACACCACGGGTCGAAAGAAAATATCCTGGATCAAACTGGAGACGTATATGGACGAATATTGGGTCGCAACAACTGTCATCAAGCCATCGGAGCAGCTTGTATATGCTGATCAACGAGAAGACAGAGCATAGAAGGTTGATGAAGATCATCCAACGGGCAGACGGCGAGAGCTGCTTGCACTGCAACGCTACGGTTGAAACATTGAACAACGATAGAATAGATGTTAGTGCCCTAAATTTTACATCGATTTTGAACAATAATACGTGTAAATTAATGTTTTAACACAGAAATAAACAATACTGTTACCAAAAAAAAAAAAAAAAAAAAAATAGTGCTGGAGGGGTCGGCAGGGCTGAATACAGATCAAAACTAACATAACTACTAACACTAAAATGATCCCGGAACTAACACTTATCCATTGCACTTTTAGTTATATATTAGTTTTATTTTTCTACTAAGTCATCTATGCTTCTTTCTATTGTTTGGATCAAGTACAACTAATACTAATCTACCTTTATGTATGTTTTACTCCCTTTTAACCCATTATCTGTATGAATGGCGAATCATATGACGTGAGACACGTACAAGCTGGAACTCACAGAATTACTTCGAACAGGATATCAAACAAATTCAGGACAATTTTTTTTTTTTTTTTAAATGCGTTTATTTTTCCAGGCTCATTTGCCGTAGCTTTGCGGAGCCGATATTCATTGTTTGGATGACAAAATTTCTTAAAACTAACGTTAGTAAAGCGGGGGCCGATTACTCGCGGCTATCTCGA